TGCAAATACACACACACACACACACACACACACACACACACACACACACACACACTTGCACACACACAAAAAAAAGAGAGAGAGAGAGGCGCGCGCGCGACCCTGGATGGAGTTTGGAGTCGAGGCTGTACTGCTCAAGGACAACCAGTGAGCTGACTCCTTGCAGCTTGCATCAATTTCTTTTTTTGTTTTTATTTTTGCTTCCAATCTTTTTTTTTTTTTTTTTTGAATGTTTTGAGTTGTGCTTGACAACAACAAATAGAAAAAAAAAGGCAGGAGAAAAAAAAACAAAACTAGTGCACACGCTGCGACGCTGGCAGCGTTAGCGACTGCGCAGCAACAGCGATAACAGCGTCAGCTAAAAAAAGTTATGCCTCATCATCAGCCTCCTGCCAGCAGGAGGCCACCCAGTCAGCTATCCTCCCCAACTTCTATAGCATGAAAATTTTCGTTGTTGCTTTTGCTTGGTGTCCTGTCCCGCACACACACATACACACACACGCATACACAACGTCGCAGTCGCAAGCACCGTAATTTACGTGCGGCTCTGCTCTCTTTCACAGAAAATCTCTTGCTTGTTTGCACACACGCACGCACACATGCACGAGTATATACTCGTGCACAAATACATAAGCTTTTCGTCTTTATGAATTTTACTGTTATTCTGGAATCTCTCTTGCCTATCTATCGCCTTTGATATATACAGCATCTACAGTTATTATTATTTTCTTTTTGGAACATTTGTTTGTTATTTGGATATGCTTTTATTTTTAACACACACAAGCACACGGATGATACGATAGAATTTACAACATTTTTGCATGGTTTATTTGTAGAAATGTTGAATAATTAAATACATACATATTTATATGTAAAGGTATGCTAACTTTAAATGCATACATACATACATCTATATTTTTACATGTAAATACATACATGCACTTATATATATAAATATGTATGTATGAAATTGGCACACTGTTATTTCTCACTCGTTGCACTTTTTGGCGTATGTGATTTGGGGCGGGGGCGCGTGTATCTTTAAGCTCTTATGTTCTGCCATTTGGCCAATTGGAAAATCGAAATGAAAAAGGAATGCAAAAAAAAAAACTAACACCGCGGTCATTGAGCCGATTTTTTTTTTCTTTTTTGTTATGATTTTTTTTGTTTTAAAATATGTACGTCAGGTATGTTCTTCATTTACATACATGTACTTATGTGGAGCAAAAAAAAAAAAAAAAACAAAAAATACGTTTTCATACACACACGCACGGTAGAGCACGTCTTAGTTCAGTCATATTGGAATTATACATATGTACTTCGCAGTATGTATGCATACGTGTGTGTGTGTTTCCAATTGGCGTTTGTTGCTAGTCCGTTCGTTGCTCAGCTTTGAGGCTGCTGAGAATTTGGTGCTTGCTGAGCCGTCGCAGCAGCAGCGCTTGGCGTCGCCCCCTCTATGTAGATATGTATGTTGTGTGTGTGGGCTTTATTAATAACGCACAATTTCAGAAGAAAAAAAAACAACAAAAAAACATTTTGCTTGCAATTTACCTTTTCAATATTATTGCTACACTTTTTTGTTCACACAACGACGCAGACGCACGATAAATTGATTCGAAGCAAATTTCTAACGCGCTCCCGCAAACACGTCCGGCTGAAGTTTCAACGCAAAAGTAGTGCTGCAGAAACAGTCGAAGTCACTATCGATATTGATGATGGGGTCGATTTTAATTCGATAAGAATCCGCACCGATAACTAATCGATTTCTGAAAGCTCAACTGTAATACAGGTTGTTAAATACACCTACAAATTCACCAACCACTTCATTTCATTTCTTAACAACACAAATGCATTGAATGGCGCAAGAGTAAAATAGTATTTTATGTTAACAGTAACAGTTGTTGCCGTGCAGTACGTTATAAAGCGCTAAGCTACGAGGGGTAATTCGTAACGCATACGAATCAACAACGTAATGCATATGTTGCGACGTAAGCGCAATCGGGAGCAACATGTGTGTGCAAAAGTGAGCCTATGCAACCTGGCGACGCAATGTAAACAGAATGTTATGTTATCGGCATGCAAACTGTTAAGTCGAACTCGTTCACAACAGAGCGACAGTGGCAAAGTGATGATGTTTGTAGCGAATGGGGGGTGAGAAAAACGCACAAAGTCAGAGCAGAAAGCAGAGTGGGAGAGAAGGTAACAAAATTACAAAGTTAAAGTTCGTCTGTTAAACAACAAAAGTATATTTCGCGATTGTGTTAAAATTTAGTCGTTTATTGCCTTCGCAAAAGCGCAGTTCAAATTTGGTGAAAATACACATAGAAATATATATAAATATATATGCATATATATTTATATATATAAATACATATACCCGTTGCATATCCCTGCCCAAACGCACACAAAGCAGCAGCAACAACAACAAAAAGAGAAACAACAACAGCTACAAATTGACCATGAACAACGGATTCAGCACCGGCGAGGAGGACTCGCGCGGTGGCCTCACGGACCAAACATGCTGCCTGATCGACGACATGGAAAGGTGCCGCAATCAGGCCGGCTACGCTAGCTACAGCAAACGTATACAGAAAACGGTGGCCCAGAAGCGCCTCAAGCTGAGCAGCGATCCCAGTGCGCAGCATATTTACATCTGCGACTATCACAAGGAGCGCATCCAATCGGTGCGAACGAAGCGACGACGCAAGGACAGCGAAGACGATAGCAACGAAACGGACACAGATTTGCCAAACTTTCCCGATCTCTATCAGCTGAATCTATCTGCGCTGCGTCGCTACAAGCGCCACTTCAAGGTGCAGACGCGGCAGGGCATGAAGCGGGCCCAACTAGCGGATGTGAGTGCGATTGATCAAAAACAAAATATAATAATAATTAAAAGAATTACTGTATTTATTGCAAATATTAAATAATGCCCATTGCTCATTTCAGACCATCATGAAGCACTTCAAGACAATACCAATCAAGGAGGAGTCGGAGATCATTACGTACTTTGTGTATATGGTTAAAATGGGATCCAATAAATTGGATCAGAAGAATGGCATTGGCAATGATACCACCTGAACGCAACTCTGTCGGCTGCCGCGGTATCGCTATCGCCCTCGTTATCGTTATCGCTATCGTTATTAACGCCGGTTGCTGAATAACAGCGCTAGCTATCCCACTCACACTCCCACTCACAGACACAAAGTCAGTCACACAAGCTATGCGTACAGTGAAATTGAATTAGGCGCAATTGTTATCAAAACTAGGTTTTCGGTTTCGTTTTATTTTATTTTTTTTTTTATTCTCTTTAAGCGCATTATTATGATTAATATTATTATTATTACGAGGAATATTCTTTTAATTTGTTTTTCAAAATCTTTTTATTTTTATACACAGAAGTGTTTGGCATGAGATTTATGCCGCTCAGGGCCGGCCCTGTTTATTGCTTAATTATTTAAGTAATTTGGAGTAAAGTAACTTAATTTTTGTAAAGAACTTGCAACCGATTTTTCAAAATTATGCTGTTAAGTCAAAAGAAATAGGCAATTATTTTGCGACCCTTTCGCTTCACTGTACCTCGTTAGCTGCGCCTGACCCAAATATCTCCTGCCTAACCACTGATACACACACACACTCACTCACTCACAGGAACAACAAAACACTGCTGGTGCTCCCAAAATAGTATAAACGAAAACTGTTGCAATGGAAAAACAAAAGAAAAACTTTGAATAGTAATAGTAGCGTTTGTTGTTAATAGCTCATTATACACAAAGGAAAGAAAATCATACAAACTTTACATAGTCGTTAATGCTATGTATATAAGAATGACCCAGTTTTGGGGCCAAACGCAACTAATACATTTACCTAAGCCTTTCATTAAATGCTGTTTGTCAACACTTTAGCCAAAAGCAATCAAATAAAATTCTAAATCTGCCAACGTGAAATGTAAATGAATAATAAGGACAACAATCAAGAACTTCAGAACATTCTACGTAAAAATTACAAAATCGTAAAGAAAAGCAAAGAAAAAAAATTTAAAAAATGAAGAGAAAAGCTAAGCAGAATACCTGTTTATAAATATACAATTATTAAAATAATTATAACTAAATTGTAAATGTAATTTTAACATATTGAATTTTAAGAACTAATTTCTAATGTAAAAAGAAAAAGAAAAGGAAAAAAAAAACTAAAACTAAACTAAAAACATTTTGAAATCTGATCAAAATCTGCCGTCTTCGGCAGACAAATATGCTCGTTCGCTCGCTCGCCAAAAAAAAATAAGTAAATAAAAATCGAAAAACCCTTGCAGAATTGTTATATACACATATATTCTACCAAACGCAGATATAGTTATAGATTATATAGAAGTAGTTTGATCTCTTTGGCTGTTGTTTCCTAAGAGCCTTAAAACTGCCTGACTATTTGGTAAACACTTATAAACGAGATTGGTTATACGTTAATTATCATCTGCAAGGGTCTAAACAAATGTGCGTGTGGCAATAAAAAGCAAAATGTTTTTCATTTCATTTACAAATTGAAAGCACTTCTCGTTTTATTCGGGTAGCAATTAAAAATAATGAACTTTAGTAGAAAATATACATGAAAAAATTGTTTAAAAAAAGAAACATGTATTTTCCTTACTGCTGCAACATAATTGTAAGAAAAAAAAAACAAATAAACTGGAAATCCAAAATGTATAGAAAAACCGGGAAATAAATGGCAACAAAGGTTTCGCCATGGCATTCAATAGAATGCGCGGCTTTTGAAGTCATACCTTTTTGGTCGATATTTATTTGGTTCTGATACATAATTCTGAGTAATCGATGTATAGTGTGTTATTTGAGTAACTCTCGGAATGCCATCACTGGCACCTCTGGTATTTTGTCATTTTAGCAATTATCGATATGCAATCACTCGGTCAGTGGCACCACTGGTATTTTGTTATTTGAGCAATTATCGATATTGCAATCGATAAGCTTTGACACCTCTAGCTTAGTTCATTTTTTGTGGTGGTTAACATACAAATGTGTTGTGTGCTGAATTTTGACTGGTGTCAAGCGTATTCATATTTAATATCTAAATTGCTCCGACGCAGTTGAGACTATTAGGCAACTAGATCGTATCTTAATTGTCTTGGCGGACCGTCGCAACACCAAGAGGGACTCGGCACAGAGATTAACCAACGCTACATACAAAGACCAACACGCACACGAAGAAGCGTGCGTGCTAGTGTGTGTGTGTCTACATACGTGTGTATGTTTCAGTGCATTTGTGTGTGTCAGTGCGTGCTGCTGTCGTCGTTGTCGCTGCTAAGAGGAAGCAGAATCAGCAGCAGCAGTCAAAGGCAGTCGTCGGTGGACTTGAAAAAGGAGTCCAAAAAGTTTTAGGCAATCGCATCCGACTGCACGGAATTCCTCACCAATAATATAATTATAATAAAAGTTTCAACAATAACAACAAACAAAACAATAATAGCCAGTGATCGATCCCTTGCCCTCCAACCCACAATCCACACATAAGCACACAGAATGCAGCAACAAGAATCCGGGGGCGAGGAGAGCTGGTTCGAGGAGCAATGTCATCGTGAAATCACCGGCCAGAACGATGAATACGAGCGCGAGTTTGTACGTCAGAGCGATAACAATTTGAGCACCGTCTGGGGCGCATTCCAGGACTCGGCCACTGCAGTGGCACAGCTCTATCGCGGTAAGTGGCCCCAAACGTCCAGTGCATCCTTTCTTTTTCCTTTTTTCGCCTCTCCAAGTCAATTTTGTTTATGATAGACTCTGCTACAATTTTATTTGACGTTTAATTTCACATGCATACACACATGCACAGATCCGATATATGTTCATGTGTGTGTGTGCATAAAAATAGTTTGGATGAGCATATTAATAGCGACCGTGCAGCCTGCCTGTCAGGCAGCGGCAGCGTCAGCACCAAAAACAACAACAACAACAAGTGCATGTATACAACAGGCCCGGCTTTTAAGCTTTAGCCCAACGCTTGTGTATGTGCTTGAAATTTTATTGATGGCGCTGCTGCTGCTGCTGCTCTTGCAGGCATCATTCACACGCCTTAAAATTCTCCACATTTTCTATTCTCCCCATATTCGTTTGCAATCTACGCATTATCAAACTGCAGCAAAAGGGCCTGCAATGGAATAGATGTGTGTCTCTGTCATGAGTTCGGTTTTTGGTATTCCTCTTTGAATGTAGAAAAAAAAAACACGAACTATGGGAAAGCAAAAACGTAATAATATTTGCGCTGCGCAGCGCAGAGCAGCAAAAAACATCATTTGATTGTCCTTAGAAATTGATTCTCTCAAGATTTTACATTTATTTATTATTATTATTTTTGTTTAACATGTCTAAATGTTATTTGTAAAGTATCTCTTTGTATGAGTGCATATATATACATGTATTTATGTGTGTGTGCACAAATATAGTGCGTCATTTACGAAAAAAAAAATAGCGTTTGACAAACAGCTGTTTTGACAATCGATGCTGAGAGTGGAAGCTGCTGCTGCTGCTGCTGACGTCGCAGTCGCCGCCTCCGCCCTAGCGGCATATGTATATGTCTTTGGCTCTTCTCTTCACTCTCATTTCTGTTATTGTTGTAGCTGCTGCTGCTAGCTGAACCCAAACGTTTCTAATGCTCCTTATTTCCGTTTCTTTTGATTGCAATATATATGTATATGTATGTGAATGTATATGTGTATATATATATAATCTGGTTTCTACTGCTATCTCGCTTGCGCTCGCTCACTTGCCCGCCGCATTGTCGTCGTTTACTATGGCCATATGCACTGCGGATCAATAACGGCAAGTTGCCTTTTGGTCCTTTTTTCCTGTGCCTTTTGTACATGCAGCAGCAGGTGCTGTCCATTGCACCGAGAGAGAGAGAAAGAGGGATAGAGAGAGTGAGACCATAGAAAAATTTCCCAACGCGATCTTTCAGTCTGGATACTTATTTATTTTCGCTGCCATTCGATATTCAATAAATAACCAGCTGATCTAAACGATATCAATTGAACAACTGAATAGCTTGCAAATGTTCAAACTATTGTTTATATATGAATATAAACATAGATAGTATGATATTCATATACATGCACATAAACAGTTAAATGTATTGTACACTATAAAAAAAAAAAAATATGAATAATTCGATTTTTTGTTGGTATTTTTGGAGAAACAATACCTAAAAAATACTTAAGAATTTAGAATAAATAGGAAGTATTTTTCTAAAGGGATATAACTTACTATAAATATAGTGGGAATATTAAAAGAGAGCATAAAATAATTATAATAGTTTATTAAATATAAATCGCATTAAATGAAAATATATGAGATTTTAGTTACTGTAGAAATCAATTAAACAATTTAGAGCATGTGAATTGATAAATGTAGTAAAAGCATTACCTACGCATTCAACATAATTCTCAATAATAATGCAGTTCAATGTTTTGCAGAGCGCTCTTCCAACACATTTTCTTCAGAGACTGGGGCACTGTGGCTGCCCTTTCAGACCGCAGCTGGCACTGTGACAACACTCTACAAAGGTGAGCAAAGAAACTACCGACTGACGGCTGATTTGGCTTTTGACTTTTGATATGTAATATAATATAATATATATATATATTCTAGAATCATGTGATGGTCTCAAACGCACCAGCGACGCTGCCATACAATGCGGCTACCAAAGACGCACACGCGAATTGGCCGATTGGGCGCGCAGCAAAAAACGACGCATGATAAGACGTGAAGATCTGCTGGCGTATTTAGCCGGAAAGCCGCTGCCAACACAACCAACGAATCCACATGCCAATCGTCGGTGAGTCCGACATCTGGGGCCGCCGAGCACATCCATTGAACTAATTTTTACTCTCTCCCTCTCTCTCTCTCTCCTTCTGTCTCCCTTTCGTCTGGCTGTCTCTATCGTGCCGCCCCATGCAGGTCGCCTAAGCCGGAACACCATCAGTGCGGTGGAGTGCATCACCATCAGGTGAACAGTAGCAACAATAGCGTCACTGGCCCGGCGATAGGCTTTGCCAGCAACGGACTGAACATGATGCCACCCACCGCCGGCGGACAGCCAACGCATTTGCTTAACGCCGCCGGTGCTCAGGCCCCAGTGGGCAACACTGGCGGCATCGGAGATGATCTGCACACTTTTAAGGAGGCCTTAGTTTTGCGTCCACGGTAATTATTACCAAATATGTTGAATGGAGGCAAATGGTGCACTCGTGTCTAGACTGCAGAAGATAGATCAATAGAGATTACTTTCCAAGTATATCATAATTTTAAGCATTGTTTTTTATAGTTCATAGTTTATTATATATGTTAGCCTAGATTGAATAGTCTAGCTTAGCCTGCTTAGACTGCTCGATTTTAGTATCTGTGTGTTATGCATTATCATAGAATCCATCAATGTTGAATTGAAGAACATCTTCCCATATTCCATATGCCATATGAATTTGTTTACCAATTTATGATATCCGATCTTATTGAAGCCCATTGAGAATAAGTAGAGTTAAGTGATTTAACTGGTAACTGAACGACTCGATTACGTTTACATGTATATATATATATATGTATATTTATATATCATTGAAAGTCTACATGATATTAGCATTCATATATACAGACATATATATCTTTATGATATCAATTTCTGTGCTTACGTTCGAGTATTTAAACAGACTTAAGAACAATAATAATAATTATTATTATTTTTAATACTCGTGCATGAATTGGTTTTGTGAAATGTTCGCTCCTCTGTCACACTACAGACATGAGACTTTGAGCAAATACACCACTATAGCCGCGCCCTATAAGGTGTTTAGATATTTCCAATACAGTTCTTCAGGTGCTATTGAATTCTTCACAGTTTTAGAGGTAAACCCATAAAATGTTATAGATAGGTAACACTATTCTGTATGGATCATCAACCATTAGGCACATCAGTGTATAAGGGAGTTATTTCTATATGCATATACTAAGGTCCCCTTATTATAGACTTTTATTGAGATTTATTATTGAGTGCTATGAGGTCAGGAGGAATATTGTAATATTCTTAATTTTTTTTTTTCTAATGAATGAACTATTATTATATCATTAGCAATCTGTTATGTAGTTCTATATGCGCTGTATTTCATGCAGATCGTAAGATAGGGACTGGACTCAAAGGACCTAAGGCCAAAGACAACAATTCAGATGCAGCTTGAGTTAGGCTTGATTTAATCAGTATTTAATTTAAAATATACATACATACATTTATAAATATACCAATATAATATATACTAATTGCATTCGCCTTCTCTTTCTCCGCAGTGGACCGGAGCTTTTTGCATTTGTTGCCAACGAAATCGCGCGCCATTGCAAGCGTCCCGGCAGTCCCATCGATGACAAAATGGATATTTGCCACTACAGCAGTAAACGTCAGCGCTTCATGTAATCGGCAACGAGCATCAATCAGCGTCACACACACACACACACACTAATATAAACACACACACATATACACACACACATAGATTTACACACACCCACACTCGTACGCAGCTAAAAGTTGAACTGGATCAACATATGTCGGGGGAGTTGGGGGAGAACAAATAACTGTTGATGTTAGCAGTTACCGTTACACACAGTGTGTGCACGTGAGTTTTTGTGTAATGGGTGTATGGTTAGGTGTATGTATGTGTGTGTGTGGCAGTAAGGCGTGAAATAGGATAAATAGTTTCAGTACTATTATAATGTTAAATTTTGTTTATATTTATGCCGTAAATTTCTTGTTACTTCGATAAGCTGCCACAAGCACACACAGATACATACACACACACACACACAAATGCATGCACACACACTCATACACAGAAACAGAGCAGCATAAGTTAGCGTTAGTTAATGATTAAGCATGAAAAGCTTTTGTTGTAAGTTTTCAAGTCAAGAGGTGGTCGATAACATATTTTATGTTAACACACACAATCAAGCAGTATAACACATACATACGCACACACACACACACACACAATCACTTTCAAAACTGTTTTACGTAGACTATGCTTGAGCAGAAAAACATTCAGATTCAGGTCCAGTCCAGTAATGTATATATAAGTATATAAGGCAGAAGAATAGAATACGTTCAACATTTTGAAAGGGAAACCTTATGTATATGTACGTACTTTATGTGTGTGTGTGTGTGTTTATATATATATATATATATATATATATATATATATATATATATATATAATTCATCCATCTGAACAATACAATTCGCAACATCATCCTAACGCTTCCCAAAAATTCTGAACACCCAAACGCTAACTGAAAAATTACAACAAAAGCAAACAAAATTCAAAAAACAAAAAAAAAAAAACAAAAAATTTAAAAAAAATTATGAACATTTAAACGAGACGATAATCCGTGGTACGATATTTGATCTTGGTGGCAAATTGTCCGCATTTTGTAGTTAGCCAGATAAAATACATCTATATTTATTCGTATAGAGCCCGCCCCACACACATCTATGTATATGAGTAGAAAACTATGATCGATCATGAGCGTATGTAAAAAAAAGGCAAAAAACAAAAAACAACAATACAAAAACAAGAACCGAAGGAAAACTGAAAACATGAACATAGCAAAAACACGTACTAAAATTTCATGTAATAAAAACAAGTCCTATGCAAATATTTGAGTTGTAATACATTTAACAAATATGCTTAACAAAAATACCTTAAAAAAAGAAGAAGAAAACATGAGAGAACAAGAAAAAATATAAATAAAAGCAATTAAAATGAAAAACAAATTATTATACAAGAATAAGAAATCCACTATAAGTTAAATAAAAACTTAAAACTTACAAAGAGAAGCCTTTATATATGTTTATTTTTTGTTGGTTTATACAAATGTTTGGTTTACATATATAAATAGTTGCTTTAATTTAAAGATATAAACAAAAATAGTAAGTTGCTCGAGCTTAAAAATTAATATAAATTATCATTGATAACAACTATTTTCAATATTTTGTCATATTTAAATTCCTTTGTTTCTTTTACAATTTAAAGCGCATACAGTTCGGTTGAACAGAAAGAGACAGCTAGAGTGGCCAATTGGGAAATGCTCGTGCCAATTGGAAAGTACTTTTTACATATGGGAAATTTAGTTGAGAAAAAAAGTCAAGAGTTTGTACATTGAAATTCATTGCTATTTTTTATTTTCATATTCATTATATATATAATTTTATTTTTTGTATATTTATATTAATAGATGTGTACATATGTTTTTTTTTTATTATTTTGTAAACTGCACAGCTGGCAATTAATTACATGTACATTAATTCGGGGGGAATTAATTAACTAATACAAAACAAGACGATTGCAACGTAGCGAGGCTGTCAAACTGTGCAGCAGGCCCATTGGGGGCCCCGCGAGCAGTGGCTGTCAAACTGTAACAGAACTGCAAGCTTAATTTATTTTTGCTTTTCTTTTTTTCTCTCTCTTCATCGATTAACAGAATATAAGCTATGCATTACGGAAATAGTACAACTGTGCCAGTTACAGCTATATATATATGTATATGTATATATAAATATTATTTGAACAGAATTTATTAAATCGCATCTAGTATTTTATCAACAGCAACAAAATGAACGCAGCAACAGTTTGAAATGCTGCGCAGCAAAACACAATTTTATTTGATTTTTGTTTATGTTCGTTCGTGTGTGTGTGTGTGTTTTTTTTTTTCTTAACTAGAGCTATCAACAAAATTGTTTAAAAGATTTTCTGCATTTGATGTTTGTTGCAATTTCTAGCACACTTAAAATTGAGTTATGGTTGTTATTTTCTGTTTTTCTTCAATTTAATTCTATGTTTCATTTCATTTTAGACGTGTGTATGTGTATGTAAAACAATGTGTAAAATAAAATTTGTTAAGAAATTTATGATCGACTGTTTAACGATAACGATAACGATACTTTTTTGTTTTGTTTTTTAACTAATTACAATGCCTTGCCCTAAACGGAATGTTTTAGTGCTACATTTCCAACTCGAACACAAACCGTCCTCTCCCTATCTTTCTCTATCTCCCTCTCGTTCTGTATATATATGTGTGTGTTTGTTTGTGTTTCATGTCACTCTCTGTTCATGCTTTACATTCCTCAAAACACTTAAGTTGAAATACCTTGAAAGTCGTACGTTGGAACATATATATGTACACATATGTATATACATATATATATGAGTATATATGTGTACATATATATTATATATATATAAAATGTATATATATATTTTCTGAACCTATATAAATATATATGTATAGTATATATAGTGCTCAATTTGTAGAACAAAAAGATTTATAAATTTAACGTTAACGGACCTAACTCTGTTATATATATATATATATATATACATATATATAAAATCGTGTGAGTGTGTGTGTCCTCCATTTCAATAGTGAGTTTAAGTTGTGTGTGTTTGTATGTGTGTGTTTCCTTGCGTGCGTGTGTATGGGTGTGCAAAAAAGAAGAAGAAGCATTTAAGAGCCTTTACATAAAACGGGTGCGTGACGCATTGCGCTGGTCCCAGCCTAAAACTGAACCCAATTGGCATTTGCCGAATTCTGTTGACCTTGATTGCCGCTAGAATCAAGAGGAGAATAAGTATTGGAATAACTGAATACAATTTGGGTGCATACCCAGCGGATGCGTAATCGGTCCATTCCGTGCCAGCGCCACCGCCGCCGCCGCCGCTTGTCCTGTGTGCTGGCGACGCGGCCGGACTCTGGCGCAGTGTCGCTGCAGCCGGCGCTGCCGGCGGTGGTGCGATCTTGGCCAAGCCACCAGGTGGCGGTGGTAGCACACCACCAGTACTTTTGCCCTTGCCAGTACGCGAGCTTCCCTCCGAGCCATCCTTTTTCTGTAAGCAAAGCACAAGTAGAGATTGGGTCAGATATGAGTGCTATTGAATGAAGAAGATCTGAAGATCAGAAAGTCAACTGCTCCAAATATTATAAATATTTCTTTTATACCTATAAGATAAATGAGCTCTGTTAAACTGAATCTATTTGTATCTCCAATAATATCCAGTGTATGATAGTATAAATGGATCATTCAGAACAAAAATTAGCAGCATTTGAAATTCAAGATTTGCATTTCTGCAAACATATTCAATGACCACAACAAATGCTAGCATGACATCCATTTATATACTTGAATGATATACATACATAATTCCCAATTCAAACATTATCACCGTTCCTTAAAGGTTCCTTTACCATCGCACAAAATATTCGAGGACTCTTAGAGGACTTAAAAAGGTAGCTACTCGGAACTCTCTAATGGTTCAAACAGAAGTCGAACACTGTATTGGGAAGATATTCATCCATCCTATAAGCTTCATTTATAGAAAATGGCTTTTTCTTGACGGTTTTAAAGGAATCTATTTAAAAGTTGAGTGCGTAATCTCGTCCAGTCAATTACACAAAAGTCGAAAATTTTACTGAGCTGATATCTATCTCTTCATCTATGCAATATCCTCATATATTATTAGCATTCTTTAAAGGAAATTTATCCTGCATTAAACTAAAGTGCTAGAGTGACTACGTGGTATCTTCTAGCCGGTTACCCATAGAAGTAGAACATTTTGCATAGCATTATTAGTGTGTTACCGTGGGATTCTTCAAATCACTTACCGTAATCCGCATGTTGATTTTAATGGTCTCGCCCTCCTTGAAGCCCAGATCAAGCTCCTGTTTGGGTTCGGTTTTCTCCTTTTCGATTTGCTCCTGATTTTTGACCCATTTGAAGTGATCCTGTAACGCCACATTCAAATCGAACGAATCGGAACGATCACCAAAGCCCAAACCCAAGAACGCTGATCGTCCATTGTCGTCCTGGACGCGTATAACAAAGTAGCGTGAGCTGTCCGAGACCGCTTCGATGGCCACGCCGGGATATGTATCGATGGGGCAATTGGCAAAGAGAGCGCCGCTCGTCTTATCCTCCAGCTTCAGTATGCAGGCAGTGCCCTTGGCCACCAAGCGCATTCGTCCCGTCCAGGTGGGCTCTTTGAGGTTCCAGTCCGCTGCTCTGCGTGTTTAAAAAAAGTTTTTATTTTGCCTCGTTCCGTTAATAAACATTGTTTACTTGAATGGCATGTGTATCTATATAAATGTATGTATGTATGTGCGTGCATTTTGTATTTTGTATGTTTCAGCTTAGTGAACGCTTTAAGCGAAAACAAAGAAAGTCAACAAAAGTAACAACAAAAACAATTATACATGTACAAAAGCTTTGGCCACATACACACATGCACACACACACACACATCTGCATACGTACATATATACATTTAGATAGACGAGCGCGCACGCAAATGCATATACATACAAACATTTCACTTGCAAGTGAAATGTACAGCAATTAAGAGAAACTGCAAACTGAATGCTCAAATAAATAAATAAAAAAAAAAAACCAAAACAAACACAACTGCATACAAAAACAAATTAAAAAAAAAAAAATCAATTGATATTGAACTTCAAAGAAGGCAGCAGCAATCAACAACAACAATAGTCAATGGGTTTTTCTTAACCTTGGCTATATTGCTTTTGCTGTGTCTCTTTGCCACATATTTCAATCTCATTTCCGTGCCTTGCGCATTTTTAACATAATTTATGCATTTCTCACGCGCGCACACACAGCCACAAACAATATGTATACACAGTGCGCGTATGTGTGGTATGTGGGGGCGTCTCTGCATGAAATCACGAAACTTTCAATTGCACCAGAGAACACAGCAACAACAACTAGGCAAAATTTTGTGTTTTTTCTTGCAGCAGAATTTCTTGTATAGTAGATGCAATCTCACCTGTATCCTCTGTTGCTAGCGCGTGGCGGTATTTTATATATAAATACCTCGGGCTTTACAATCAGCACACTTTCATATTCCATCTTTTATTATTATTTTTGAATTAATACTATTGTTTATTATCCTGCCTACGAGGTTCGTTTATAACTTTAAGCTTACAACTACATATACTGTAGAGCTGTCAAACAATCGATGCCAAATACCGATAATGTGGCTAATCGGGGGCCTCCACAAAACTATCTTTTGTAATAAAATCGGTTGGTACTTTTTTGATATAGCTACCATAAGTAAGAACGTCCAAGTATGTATATCACGGATGATATAATTTCTACCTTTATTATGTTGATTTTATTTTTAGCGATAGAGCTTATCTGACTGTGAAATATGTTGAGTGAAATATTTTGACAACGCACGCGCGGCACGATGACAATGATTCGTTGAGTTTCGATAATATTTGACAATACATTTTTAAAAGGATTTTTAGAGTTATAGACGTGTTTTTTATGTAGTTTTCTGATAGCTGATCATGGTTTTATTTAATTTTTGACTAAACATGCAGTTTTTAGATATCGATAATGACCGCGCGGTACAATTATGAAAATAGAATCGATATAAATTACCAGTCGATATAAATTCAGTACATTTACTTGAGTGCGATTCCTTTTTATTTACTTTTCAGTTTTACTTACAGTTTATATTTATCAATTCTTTTTCATATATGTATATTAAGTAGCGATAAGAAATAATTATCAGAAAAGTATCGATAGCATTATTTTTAGTATATTTTATCTAAATATTTCGCTATATCGATAAGTAATATCATTAGTAGGCCGCACGTTGTTCGTCTGAAGGTCTACAATAAACCGAAATGGCACCGGTTGAGAAAATTACAAGCGACAGCGACTTGGATGTGGTATTGGAGGAGTTTAAGACCAAACAGGCTCGTCGCAACAGCACCGGTCCCAAGTACACATGCAGCATAAGCGGTTGCAATGAGAGCTTCAAGCGTCTGGACCAATTGGATCGCCATGAATACCACCATACCGGTATTGTAAGTACGACTCAAATATACTTGTTCAATTTATAACAGATTCGCTCTTATTGTAGAAGAAGCACGCTTGTAGCTACGAAGGCTGTGATAAGACTTATTCAATACTCACCCACTTGAAGCGTCATCTGCGCAGCACACACGAACGTCCTGCGGAACCGCAGAAAACAGTCAAATGCAGCCTGCCACAGTGCAACAAGATGTTCATATCGACTAGCAACATGACACGCCACCTGCGCGAGGCACACGAGAGTCCGCGCGAATACGACTGCCGCTTCTGCTCTCTCAAATTCAGGCAAAAAATGAAGTTGCGTCGCCACGAGATCATACGGCACACACAGGAATTTCCGTTTCGTTGTGAGAAATGCTGTCGCGGCTTCTGTCAGAAGTGGCAGCAGGAGAGTCACCAGCGTAGCTGCAGACTCTACTCGTGTCCCCAATGCGAACTGAAGTTTGAGAAATGGACGCTTTACACAAAACATTGCCGCGAAACACTACACAGAGGCGAGCGCCACAAGTGTGAGCACTGCGACAAAAGCTACGATAGACCCAGTGCCTTGAGTGCTCATATTGCTGCCAAACATCCAGCAGATGCTGAATCAACATTCACATGTACCGAGCCGGGCTGCAATCGCAGCTATTCGTATGAGCGTAATTTACGTCAGCATATCCTAACTAGTCACACGGGGAGGCGCTTTGAGTGCCTGGCCGTTGGTTGCCAGCGCTGTTTCAGCAGTGCCCAGAATCTAAGCAAACATTTGCTGCGCGATCACACAGACAAAGAGCGCCAGCCAGCTAAAGAGAAGGAAACGCCAGACTCAAACGCAGAAAGAGCCCCGGCAAAGTCTCGCAAGCGTCGCCGCGATGCGGGCAAATCCGCACGATCGCAGCTCTCTAAACTGTCGTGCCTGGTGCTCGACAAGGAGATTGATAAGCAGGTGCGCCTGCGCCAACCATCGGCGCTAACGAGTGTGGCCAAGGAGCTGCAAGAGAAACATGACGAAGAACAGGAACTAGAGCAGTTGCTGGAGCAGACGCTGGAAGATGACAGCTAAATAAAAGCCTTGCTGAATAATATATATGAAGATGTGGCTATACATATATAAGTAGATTTAAGTATGCATCTTATAGTGGAAATTTTATGCTTGGCACATTCAATTTATAGTATATAATGTGATGCATATTTATATTTATTTATTTTTATTAATTTTTTTTTATACATTGGCTTATTTAAAAAGACAAGCTTTGTTTGCGGTCTACATATATTCCAAAGCTATCTGTAGAAAAGGTAATACTTTAACCTCTCGTATCCATTCATATATAAACTGCCTAAATTATATTATATTCGAATAAACAAATTTAATTTTGAAAACCGAATATTCCATAATTTTATATATTACAACTTTGTTCTAGTCAATAAATAAGCTCTAGATCTACGATGTTAGAGTGCACAAAGGGAGATATTTACTCTAAAGAACCGATTAAAGTCAGTTTAAGTTATTTTATTTCCAAAGATTAATGTTAAGAAAAATATGAATTAATCAATACAATATCTAAAAATAAAACAAAAATGAATAACCAATTTTAGTTAATTTGATTGGCACAGATTTATTCCTCAGACTACATAGATCAGCGAGAAAAATACACTTTAAATTTTTCTATAAAACAAAAGTTTCTTTGCAAAATTTGTTTATGAATTATAATCCCAATTGCTTTAAGTTGATCTATATTCTTTATCGAAGCATCAAAACAGTTTCATTGCAAAAACGTTTTCATATATATTTCTACATTAATTGCTTGAAATTGATCTATATTCTATATACCAAATCGAATCAGATCTCGATAAGTACTAATTAAAGTCAGTTTAATTTTCCTTTTTTATTAATAAACGAACGTTTTTGAAAACAACTTCAAATCCGTTTTATGTGGATGAGGTTGTGTACAAGGGCGCAGGCTGTGTATGTATATGTGTATGTTGTGTCTGAGTCTCTACAACGAACTGATGATTTTTCGACTGCGCATTTGCTCCAACCATTGCTCCAACTGTTGCTCAGGCGTCTGTGGCTCGGGTAGGTAGTAGTGCTGCGGTGGTTCGCCCTCTTCTAGCCGCAGGAAGTAGTGACAGTGCTTGTACTCAACGCGTCCAAAGCGACCGCGCGCATGTCGTCGCATTCCCTTGAAGACACGTCCCTTGCCCACAAAGGATTCAGCTGGAGAGAGAAATGTAAGTTATTAAAGGCCCATAGTGTTAGCACCCATATTTATTTACCAATCCACAAATTGCTTTTATACTCAACATTGTGCCGCTCAACGGCCATTTGCTGAGCCTCCAATATCGTCTCTCTGACATCTGTGGCTCCCTTTTTGAGCACAAAATTCAGTTGCTTGAGCGCCTCGTCTACGGACATGCCCCGCACAAAGGCCGCTATATACCACATCTTGTCCGGACTATATTTGATGTTGGTGCGCATATGGCACACATACTATAAATAAAGGATTTTAATATTATAATTAAGTATTAGAGTTAATAAAAAAACTGAAATAGTAGCCATTTACCGCTTTGCGTGGCTCCTCGTCCACTTCCTGTGGCGGATGCACTGTTTTGTTGTATTCCAGCCATTTGCGAGGCCCGTAATTGTGTTTATTCCATTTGGTGCAGAGGCCCCCAGAGGCAGCCGTGTGCACGCCGCAGCAGTCAACGTTTTGCGTGATCGCAGGCGGCGTGGCTAACAATTTGGCTGCGCCGGTTACGGGGGCAGCCGCAAGCAGCGGCGTTTGCACCGTTAGCTGCGCCATTCGCCTTATCATTTTGTGCATGGTGCTTCAGGTTTGTTTAATAATGTTGTCAAAAAGATTTATAGCAATAAAAGAACTTGAAGCACCATCGGTCGCGTAATCTACCAGCAAACAGCTGTGTGGGCACTTAAGTCTCGCACATATCGATATTTCGATAGTTCGTAGTAGATATTTTTGCCGACAAGTGGAATGCTATCGATATTAAATCGAAATATAAGCGATAATTAATATCTTTAAAATGTTCTGAGTTTGAAGTTTTTATTTCATGTTATATCAGCCAGATGGCTGTAAAATCGTATGCCTGTTGAGTGAAATATTTGTAATACGAATACAAACTATTATAATAAATTAAATGTGTGAACCTTTTTAATTTTTCCCTGTTATAAAAAAGAAATCACGAACTGAATCGCGTTAGCCAGTGCATCTACTTAAGCCGAACTATCGATCGCTTCCTTTTTGATGCCTTAAGATTTCTCAAGAAGGGCTTGCAAAGAAGTTGCAAATTTATTCGGATTTCATAGAATGGTTTGAAACAATAACATTGAGTTTTCAATATATTATAAATCATATTATAGCCATTCTCTGTAATATGGAGGATTCAACTCGCGTTAAAACCGAAGTCGAATCCACTTACTCAAATATCATATACAAACAATCCCCATCCAGAGATGAAGATAACGCGTGCACCCCGCTGCGTGATGAAGGTGGCCACTCGCCCCTCGGACAGGAGTCAGTTAATGCTAATGGCGCCGCTAGTTGGGAAAGCGATGGTGATGATCAGAACTTTACAGCGCCGCCGCCACCGTCAGTGCAGCATGAGATGTTCCTGGTGCGGAGCCCGCAATATGATTATTGCCCCACGCCATTGAGAGTAGTGGCCACAGTTGATCCGGAGCCGGCAGAAACTCAACGTGAATATGAAGAACATGGAAATTCGGATTTGCTGAGCGATGACAAAGAAAATTCAAAAGCGCTGACTGTTGTGAAAAAGGAGGAGCGCAGAGAACTACAATTGGGCTTTCTTGATATCCTGTCGGAGACAGACTTTCAAGGCGTTTTAGATGAATCTTATAGCCATGTAGATCAACTCGATCAAATGGATCTTGAGCCGCCAAATGCAGATAACGATGAAGAGCAGGCGCTGCAAGACCGTATCGAGCAGCGGCAAAAGGAGCTTGAAAGCTTAGAGCGAACAACTACCGAGAAGAAGCGAAAAAAACATAAGAAGGAAAAGAAAAATGATAGCCATAAAAAGCGACGTCGCAGTCGCAGTGGCAGTAATAGCCCAAGCTCACATAAAAGCCGTAAGGAGCGACGAGTACAGGAGCCTGATCGATCCAGAGGATCAAGATTAGGTTCCAGGTCCGTCATAAAAACTGAGCCCGATCAACTGGACTATGTGCCAGTACGGACCGAGGAGAAGAGCATCAAGGTAATCAACATCAGCAAACTAAAGCAAAAAGCACCAGAGCCAACACCAGCTCCGCTAACAATTCAGGATAAGCGTCGCCGGGGCGTGGAGCGAGCAAAGAAAGTGCTACAGTTAATGGATCTCAAGGAATCCAAGGCACCGAAGACCGAATTCCTAGTGGTCAACACCATTCGGAAACTACCCAAACTAGGTGGGTATATGAGCAGTTATGTATTCGAGAATCCCTCGCCGCTGTGCAACAATTTCAATGTTAGATATAAGTTCAACTCGACATCCGTATCGAATATCAATTTAAAGAAGTGGGGCCTGGAGCCGCTGCCCGAAGCGACAAGGGAGCTGTTGCGTCTAACCGGAATTAATGTGACACAATTGATGGATCTACAAAAGAACTCGAAGATGACCATTCAGAAGCTCAGATTCACGCATCAGAAGGAGAACGACAACAGCAGCAAGATAGAGGATGAATCGGTATCTACCGGTCTGTACAAAAGTGCATCAACCCAGACGGATTCCCGGATGGTGAACCACGGTCGGAATATTGGTGTTCAGGCTGTTCCTCCATCGCATGAAGGCGTCTATTGGTTGAATCCTCGCTTCAATGATTCGGACCTAACGCAACAGCAAACTAACGTGTTGCTGGCACTGAAGGAGCTTACCGCCTCGCCTCCCAGCTCATCCTTGTGGGCCGATCGTATATTCCGAGAACTGCGCAATGCCTTGGCGATCAAGCGCGTCGAGGCCAAACAATTGAAACAATGATCAACTTATTATTGCCAAAGCATAACCACTGCAAACGCATTGTGGAAAAACGATTCGATTTTAAAACTTATTAAACAAGAGCTTGGATAAACAGATTTATGTTTTCCCATCAATTACTTCAGTAATATATAAAGTGCAAATACACGTATCCAGACCAAAGAAACGTGAGGCCAAATCCAAAATCAAACAATAAACAAAAATAAAGAAAACGTTTGTAAAATTAAGTATTATGTTAACGTGCCTTATAAATAAAAATAAAAGAATATTTTGTAATTCAAAATTGCTAAGGGTTCATGAAACTGATAATTCTAGTTGGAAACTGCCAATTGGTAAATTGTTAATTCAAATGTTATCGATAACCGAATGTGGCAGCCTTTAACAACACTTAACAGAGATCCGGTATTGTCTGGCCACACCGTTAGGTCCACGTAGAAAACAAACGGACGACATTGTCGACGTGCATATATTTAATTAAGATTTAAACATACAGCGAGATGCAATAAACAAAGATCAATTGAAAGGACCAGCGGACTGGCACGCGCAGAGGCAGTGACTCCGTGCCCCTGACACTGACAACGGCTCCTCAACTGAGCATCTACAATAAACATACACCAAAATATTTAAATATGTTGGGTGGTAAACGCACAAGCTCTCGTCATGTTGTGGTCGTACTATTGATGTGCCTCTTCTGGTACGTGATTTCGTCCAGCAACAATGTCATTGGTAAAATGGTGCTCAATGAGTTCCCATTCCCAATGACCGTCACCCTCATCCAGCTATGCAGCATCACCCTCTATAGTGGGCCATTCTTTAATTTATGGCGAATACGTAAATACCAGGACATACCGCGAGCTTACTACATGCGACTAATTGTCCCGCTGGCCATTGGCAAGCTGCTCGCCTCGGTCACCTCGCACATATCGCTGTGGAAGGTGCCCGTATCATATGCCCACACAGGTCAGTTGAGCAAAGCCAATCAAATTATATTTAACTTCACACGTCACCAAATGTTGATAAATATTTGCAATTCTTCTTCTTCTTCCCCATCAACGACTGTTCAGTTAAAGCGACCATGCCGCTTTTCACCGTCGTATTGACGCGTGTCTTCTTTGGCGAGAAGCAGCCCACACTGGTGTACCTGAGCCTGCTGCCCATCATAACTGGCGTGGCCATTGCGACTGTCACGGAAATCTCGTTTGATATGCTCGGCCTAATCAGTGCACTCATCTCGACCATGGGCTTCTCCCTACAAAACATCTTCTCCAAGAAGGTAAGGCGATCGCTCGCATAATCTCACCTGGCCTTCATTATCAAATCAATCAATTCTATTTACAGGTGCTCAAGGATACGGGCATACATCACTTGCGACTGCTGCATTTGCTCGGCAAGCTATCCCTATTCATTTTCCTGCCCCTCTGGCTCTACATGGACAGCATGGCCGTGTTCCGGCATTCAGTTATTGTATGGCATATATCTATATATTCACCATTATCGATTTCTAATGCAATATTTGCTTGGATTACAGAAAAATCTGGACTATCGAGTGATTGCGCTGCTCTTCACCGACGGCGTTCTCAACTGGATGCAGAATATAATTGCGTTCAGTGTGCTGTCGCTGGTTACGCCACTTACATACGCCGTGGCCAGCGCCTCGAAGCGGATATTCGTGATTGCCGTTTCGCTGCTGATATTGGGCAACCCGGTCACGTGGGTGAATTGTCTGGGCATGACGCTGGCCATCATCGGCGTGCTGTGCTACAATCGTGCCAAACAAATCTCGAAGGCCAGAGAGCTGCCGCTGCAGGTGCCAAGCAGTCATATTAAGTATACGCCGCTGCAAGACAACTACTATCGCAGCTCGCTCAATGGCAACATTGGAAATGGCCTGCACAAGGGCTCTGCGACCGTACAAATGCCAATGCCAATGCCCATGAGCACCAACAGCAGCAGCAGCAGCAGCATCAGCAACAGCTTGCTGGTGAACGGCAGCGGGATGCCAAGCGGGAGCACCACGCGCCTGCTGTTCGTATAGTTTTCTAATTAGTGCAATTGTTTTGGAAGAGCTACAACATTCGTTCACAACTCGTCGTCGCCTCACGTCTGGCATTCATTGATGGCTAAGATAACATTTCTTATCAGACAGAGTTCGCTATCTACGGGCAATCCGAATAATTGAATAGTATTCCCGCATTCAAATCAAACAATATTCAATGTGCTCTCTCTGCTCGTGTGGCACATTTTGTTTGTAGTTTTCCCTCCGGTTTCCATTTCATTTTCTTTTCTTACCGTTGATTTCCTGCCCATCTTTTTTTTTTTTTTTAAGTTATCTTGTATAATATTGTATGATAAAGAAATATGCGTGTGAGGCGGTATGTAAATAAGTATCTATGATTGAGACTGAATCCGCAACGGATTTGCCTCAGTTGCCGCTGAAAGGAATATGAATATATTGTTTTCTCAATTCGAATTAGAATGATAATGCCTTACAATTGTATGTATGTATGTATTTACAAAATCGAAATGCGAAATGCGTGTGTATTCAAAATTGTTGACCGTGTACATAGGCAATAAACACATATATCTACTACGTTCTATTACGTACTATGTAAACCAGCCAGTTTTGGCTTTTACTTGGAACCGGGCCAGTGTTTATTCCACTACCGCCACCAATTCCCAATCCCAATCCAAATCTAGGATGCGCTGGCTAGGCGGGCAGCAGCTTTATCCACTCGTTCACGATTGCCTTTTTGTAGCCAATGCGTTTGAGCAGCGCCTCCGAGCGCCAATTGCTGGACACAATCCATGCGGTGAGCGTCACCTCCTCCTTTTTGGCAATCAATTTGCTCATGACGGCAGCCAGAAGCCCGCCCAGGCCACGGCGCTCCGCTTTGGGCAGCACCTGTAGCATACTTTGCAAAAGAAAATCGAGACTTTAGCTAAGATTCCACTTGATTCATGCTCTCGCTCTTACCCCAGGCCAGAGAAGTCATTCTGGAATATCCAGGCAATCAATTCGCCCGTGTCACTGCGACAGACGCCCACGGTTCTATTGAACTTGATCAGAGCACGGATGTATGCCAGTGATCCTTCGCCCTTGTTGGGCCATATACCGTGCACTATCTCGGCATCCTCGTCCGTTAGCTGACGCAGCTCAAAGTCCGTTAGCAGCTCGGGCACTGTGATCACTTTGGCCTCCGCATGGGGCAATACCATGCCGTAGCACTGGCGTGCCTGTATACCCGTTGCGCCCTTCTTAAGGGCCAGCTCTTTGACGCGTTCGCAAAAGTCGAGATCGACATTCGTAAGCAGCGCACCCTTCGCCCATTGAATAAGCCGGGTCTGCTCGAGGCAGGCGAACAGCTCCACGGCCCCTGTTTGCCAGCTGTAGAAGGAGACGCTCTGCACCACATCCTCATGCAGGCTCACGTACGTGCCGTACTGCCGGAAATCCCCAGCCCGGTGTGTGTAGAATCGTTTGCGCAACGAAATGTAGTTGGCATCGTTTAGGGGAACGCCTGCTGCCGCCAGCTGGCGATCCCATTTACGCTGATTGTACATTAATAGATAATGAAAGTTAAGCTCTCCATATTTCGCCTTATAGAGCGCCATCAGCTCATCCACTTCGGTATCGCTGAGTGGACGCAAGATGTCCAAATCCTTATCGCCCATATTGATCGATGCCAACTGCTGATTACGCTTTCAAAGTTACAAATTGTCTGGCTTCGGCTCGCGTTGGCGTTCTTTAATTCAGCGAGGAAACCAGACGCAAATGTATACAGGAGCGGATTCATAGTTAAGCAAAAACTAAATGTATTTTAAGTTTACTTTATTACGGTTAAATTATGCCAAGGATCTAGTTAGCGAATTTCATGATCGGCTTAACGGTTTATTATCTCTGTACATTGATTAATTTTTTTTTTGTTTTTTCTTAATTTATTATTTATATACAATAAATATATAACAAATATATAACCGCAGTGCGGCCCTGCAATCAAGCACTTTAGACGTGTTAGACTAACTAATTCAACTGATTAGATTTCCCGCAATACAAAATAAGCAGCGCACCGTACGTCGATGACGTTGCCCACATGCAAATCGATATGTTAATTTCGATAGGTTCAATCGGTCGGTCGGCGGCTTGCTTATCCGCCGATGACACGAAACTTAAATTGAACTTCGAGCGCCAACTAAAGCAACAATGTAGCAACGGCACAGAAAACTATTTGAACCTAGCAACGCAGTGACCTTTGTTTGTTTACAATTTGAATTAGTTGAATCCAGACTTACACATAGACATCATTAATATTTATACTATTTAAGCAATTATGGTGCGCAGTAAGTGTAACAAAAACAGCAACAGCAACAGCAACATTTGAATTCTTGACTTTGTAATCAAATTGAGCAACGTCTGCAGTTACAGAGGAGCTGGTTCGCAAAAAGTCGGAGCATAATGAGCGACTAATTAGCACGCTGGAGGAGCTATCGCTGCATCAAGAGGACATCGAACGCATCGAACACATTCAGAACTGGTGTCGCGACCTCAAGATATTGCTGTTGCAGTCCAATCTCATAGCCCGGCTGGAAAATCTGTTCAAGCTAAAGCGTCTGGAGTATCTCAATGTGGCGGTTAACAATATTGAGCGTATTGAGAACTTGGAGAGTCTCGAGTCGCTCAACAAGCTCGATCTGACGCTCAACTTCATTGGCGAGCTAACCAGCATTGAATCGCTTATTGGCAATTATAATTTACGCGAACTGATTCTGATTGGGAATCCGTGTGTCGAATACCCACATTATCGTGACTATGTGGTGGGCACCCTGCCGCAGCTGCACAGCTTCGACTGTAAGGAGATATTGCCCACAGAGCGGCTGCAAGCGCAACGTCTCGTCCAACAGCATCGGGCTGTTATCGTCCAGTGCCAAGCGGCACAGGCCATCGAGCGGGATGAGCAAAGGATACGCGTGGCCGAGCAGCAGCAGCAACTGGCCAAACAGTGCGCCGACATGGAGGACGAGGAGGAGCGTCGACGCACCTTCTGGAATTCCAAGAGCGAGCACTGCCCAGAGATACGCACAGAGATAGCGCGTCAGCACAGGCTTGGCCGCGAAAAGCACGAACCCACACCAAATCCATTGACAACCAATCTTAAGCGAAAGCCGAATCTGTTTGCGCCCTGCGGACGACCCTACAACATCAACCAGGGCAAGTTGCCGTTTAATTTCCAGGATGAAGCCGATCACTATAGTCTGCTATTGGAAGTCTACAAGTTTGTATTTACAATTCGATTCTCTGATGATGAAGTGCATCTCTCACTATATTTGATCAATGACAGGCATCTGGACACATCCCTGATCGATGTTGACGTCGAGACAAACTATGTGCGCGTCACGGTCAAGGGGAAGATCTTTCAAATCGCCTACAATGAGGAGGTCAAGCCGGATGAGTCGATTGTGCAGCGCTCCCAAATCACTGGCCATTTGCAAATAACACTCAAGAAGCTGAAGGCCAACGAGCTGCTTGTCGTCAAATCCGTGCGCACGCCGAAGAAAGGGTGAGTGAATGGATTCAGATCCGGGCCGGAAATAATATCAACTTGACATCTTGCAGTGTTCCTGCTCCTGGTGCTGCTGTTGCTACTGCAAAAGAACCCAGCGGCACAGTCGATATTGGCAATATATGTCCTCCGCCCGATTTGCCCGACTTGATCTAAGTGCAGGCGAGCACACAAGGATTTATTAGTTTTTTATTTAAAAATTGTTTATTTAAATATTTTGTTTTTTTTTTTTTTTTTGTTTTTTTGGGATTTTTTGTTTCGTTGCTGCGCCTCTCATATTCCTGCTGCCTTCTAGTATTCATAACTCCGCGCTGACCCAGCATAGTACCATATGTCTATATACATATATATACACAAATGTATATATATATATATATATATATATATATGTAATTGCTTATATTGTATATGTAGTTACAATTCATGATGTACGTTCGTGTGTGTATGTGTGTGTCTGTGTATGGGGTGGATATAAAAAATGATGCAAACGCATAGTAAAAATTGAAATTATTGTTTGCTTTTTTTGTGATCTAAACGGGAATAATGTTGCTAAGTTATAGAAACCGTTTGCCAAAAAATCCTTACTCATGCTACGCAGTATATATCAATATATATGTATCAAAATGAGCTTTGGTTGATTAATTTATATATATATTTCGAGTCTGATTAAAAAAAAAATAAAAATAAAAACGCAAGAAAACCCAAAAGTCATTTTAAAAAATACATGTGGTACGCTTTTTTTTCTTCTCCTGAATGATTAGTTTTATATAGATATATATATACACATATATATGTTAGCATTTGAAGTTTGAACAGTTCATTCTGAGCCAACGGAAAGGCATCTCAGCTAAAGGGATTTCTCGTTTATTTCAGTCTCAGAGCGGCGCACTATAGTTTCGACCATAGAAATTGGATTGTATTTGGTATATGTCTAGTTTGTGGATCGGGAAGGAGGAAGGCTGGTATATTGTATTGTAATTCTCATTTGTTTGCATTTTGTTTTTGCGTTCAGTGCTTACAAGTTTATACTGCGGGAGTAAGGATCGTATGATCATTCCTGGGCCTGGCATTATTTCGTGAAGTTAATGGTAATCATATATATGCAGTCAATATTTTATATGTTCCTTTCGGTTTTTTTTTTTTTTTTTTTTTTTTTTTTTTTTGGATAGCAACAATCTTGTATTCTCTCTCGCTCAATATAATATTTCGGGTTTTTTTTTTTGTTTTTTGTAGTTGTATTTTAAATAGTAAGTATTGTATTTAGCTGTGGTTGTGCATTGTATTTTGTTTTGTTTGTTAGTTCTTTTCTGTTTTCTAAATACAAGTATTTTTGTTTTTTACTTTGCATTTGCGTTTTGTTTTTGTTTTGTTATTTTGTTTGCTTAAGTCCTTTTGTTGTTTGTTTTGGTTTGTGGTTCCCATAAAAAACGTATAATAAAAAATGTGAACAAAAAAATAAAAGACATTTCGAAAAAAAAGCGTTTTTGCGTCTTTTTGGTTACATTTTCATCTGGGTTTTCTTTCTCTCCTTTTTGTTTTTGTTGTTTGTTGTCTGCTGTTCTTGTATGCGTGTAATTGTATTGTTGTTGTTGTTGTTGCTGTTTTTACTGCGGTTAGACACAAAAATGTTAACAACATTGCACATGTTGGAAAACGAGGTAGGACATTGTTTTTGTTTCGATCATCTTTTGTTTATGTTTGTTTTGTTCGGTTCTTTGTGTTGTTTCTTCTTCTCTTTTTGCGTATTTGTTTTCGTCATTTCAAAACAGAAAACACAAAAGAAAAAAACACACACACTGGTTATTAAAAGCAGATAATTCAATAAATATATAACTAAGCGTCCGGATCAAGCGACCGTCATTTTTAGCGTAACGTTGCGAAACGAGTCAAATAAATTACAAATAGCAATACATATTTTGGTTATACCTTGAGACTTATATATCATAACGTTATGTACCAACTAATCTAAGGTGCTAACTGTGACTGGCCCGGCCACAGGGAGCACTGATGAACTAAAATCTAATAGAATAGCCCGGCTGCATCGCCCTATGCGTCACACATGTTCGTTGACCCACAGTCAAGAGTCTCAGACGACCAAACACCAGAGATAGCTAACGGTTGTGGGATACAAATCGGCGTCCGAATATAAAATCATATATAAATATATAGACATATAAATATATATAATATATTTATATTTATATATATGTATATATGATATAAAATTAAAACGCGTTTCTTCCGCTTCGCTTACAAAACCTACAACTACAATACGTTCGTATCCGCATGTGTGTATGAATCTATATATATATAAATATATATAAGTGTATGTGTGTTTCTTTTCGTGTGTGTGAGTGTGTTTTTGTGTGGTGTTGGTGTGCTGTTGTTGCTGCTGCTGCTGCTGCTGCTACTGTTGTTGTTGCTGTTGTTGTTGGGTGCGTATTGAGGACTGCGACAACAACCAATTTCCTCACATCACAGTCACACAGGCAGAGCAGTGTGGGTCGGAAAGGGGGCACGTGGCATGGGTGGTAAGAAAAAATTGACTCTTAGACCCGCAGGATCTCGCACGCTTTGTTATAGCAAATGGCTATCCAATCGGGTTGCGTGGCACCCCATTGTATTTGATTGACTTCGCCTTCAGCAGCTGTATAGGCTAAAATTGGATCCTCGATTGCGCGTGGCATTTGTTGTATATCCCAGATCAGTGCTTGGTGATCATCACCGGCAGTGCAAATGTGACAGGAACTGCAGGCAAAGAAATAACATATATATTCGTCTTCTTCCTCACATTCTATTTGATTGTTTTAGTTTTGCTCACCTATGCGGCGCCCACGCAATACCGTTGACGCACGCTCTGTGATTGCTCAGTCTTGCAACAGGTGTACAAGGAACACGAACATCTAAAATAATAACTTCACATGAATCCATGGCAACTGTGGCTAAGTAATTCGGATCCTGTTTGTTCCAGGCTAAACGCAACAGGGCGGTATGCGCAGGATCCTAATCAATTAAGAATAAATCATTATTTACATAAAAAAGCAATGGGCGATTGTCGCAGCCTACCTCATAGATAATGGTCGAGTGCTCGAGATGGCGCAGATCAAACATGCGCACTGAGCCATCAGCACCAACAGAGGCAAACATATCCCGTCCTCCGCCGGCACGTGAAAATGCAATGTCATAGACCTCCTTGTCGTGTGCTATCAACTGCGTCTTAACATGCCCAGCCACATAGACGCGAGCGTGCGGCTGCCCAGTTTCCAGGCCCCATATTGTGCATGTGGTGTCGATGGATGAGGTGCCGACCAAATTTGGATCCACCTCGTTCCAGTCGAACGATGTGAGCGGCGCACAAAAATCACTGTTTTTGTTGTTATTTAATACACACTCCAAATGGGTATCCGGTTCACCGGCACGCCAAACACGCAGATAATCACCGCTGGTGGCCAACAGATCGGGATAGATGCCCTTCGAGTCTGGTATCCACATGATTTTTGTCGTCGGATATGGATGGTCAAAGGTGCTGCAAATGAGATCACAATTAATTACATTTTAATATTGATTTACATAAACTCTCAGATGATGTCGATAAGGTTAAGTCTAACTCTTAGAACTGGTCTTTTCTTCTGCTGTGAGCTAATCTCTGACTTGTATGGGAGGATCGGCTAAAGATTGTCTTCTTGTTAAGTCAAATTAATTAATAGGAACTTACCATATAATGAGCTCTTTATACGAAGCTCAACATATATCTCACAATATACAATATTTTCATCCAAGACATAATATACAATATTTTCATTCAAAATATATATCCACCAACTTTAAATTGTCTCGATGGGTAGTCTAAGTTCATAAATGACATTTACCCTATAACAATGATAACTATATTTCTATATACTGACATAAATAAGTCTAAATGCAATCAAGCTGAATATATACATATCTTAATATATAATATTTTAATTCTGCTCAATGAGCTCCACACCTTTTAGCACTAAATTCGCTGGTATCCTCGTCCAGGCTTATGATTTGCACTTTGTTGTTGTACTCCTCGATGAAGCTACCCAAGGCAAGGCGGAAACGTTTGTCTGGCCGGACGCTCCAGTTCATGGAGTAGAGTGGCCATGGCGCCAGGTATTTGTATATTTCCTTACGTTTCCCCGCGGTCGATGACATAACTATTGTTGTTAATTAGGCGACAATTAGAAAAGAGGGGGAAGTAATACAACAACTAGCAGCACTTACCTAAATATTTATGTGTTTGTGTTCGTTAGGGATATGAAGAATATCAAACGACAGAGTTCCTGTACGCAATTAAAATGATCCAGTAACCGAACTTTTATACAAGGTTTCTCACAAAAGCTAGCTGGGCGGGCGGGCTGGCGGCTGATGGGTGGTAATAAGACAAACCTGCTAAAAATTACGATGGCAATGCGGATGATGATAATGACGAGACAAATTGAAACTTCAGAAAATTAACAAAAAACCGCTGTGCCTTTTGGTTTACTGTACACGGAGAAAATGGGAATGGAAACCGAAAATGAGATGTTATTGTTGTAAAAATTATTTCGTTTCAGTTTTTAATTATAATTGCATTTATTTTATTTGTTTTGTAGCTCACTTCATTTTGTGTGACGACTTTGGCGGCGGCGCAGGCTAAAGTGGTGCCCACTCAGCCTTTTCCGGTTAGATTTAGATGTTTAATATCCAGATTCACAAACAATTGTTGTAAGCTATATTGGTACGGCGGTGATACGCAGTCTAGCTGAAAAATAGTTGTTTAATAACAATGAATAACTAATTTATATATTTCAATATATGATGTTGCATACGTTGAGTTTAACTCTTTGCTTAGCAATATTAAAATTGTAATGCACATAATGGTGGAGATATGCGAATTTCGTTAAAGTAGCTTTTTGCGAATACAAAAGTTGGCAACACTGTATGTAATGCGACGCGACAGTTTGCGGCTGCAGTGTATTATTAGTAATTGAGTAAATACGGCTTAACGTGCCGCATGGGCACTAACAATAGAGGTAGCCTTAGTTTACTTATTCAAGTATTTATTTGCATTACGATTTCATTAATTTTTAAGCGATATTTAAATGCAAGAACTTTTCACACCTGAACAAAATTTTCTCTCAAAATGTATATACACGGCGGTGTTGCCACTTTATCTGTTGTTTGGGATGACCACTAAGTCGATAATTAATGGTTTGACATCTGGTGCGATACAAAATCATTTATCGATACTTCTATGAACGCAACTCTGGATTTCGGTAGTTCGCTTGCAAAACTGACTCGCTACTAAGTGAGTTGTGCGTGCTGTGGGCTGAAAATTAAATATAAAAGCCAATAATATTAGTTATTACCATGTAAAGAAGCTCAGTCAGTGCACTTTTTAAGTATTTTTTGTGGTTATATGTGTGTGTGTGTCAAGAGCTGATACAATTAAACGTATACGACAATTTTTTTTTCCAAACGTCGAGAGTAGATTGTGCGTGAAT